CAGTCGATTGCTGGCAGTTGAAGAGTGAGGACGTAGAAAACTGAGTAGGAGAGTGAGTAGGGGAGCTCGGAAATGAAGAACAGCGGGTCACTGGGCACCAGGGGCGCCACAGCGAAAGTAGTTCCGACCGGTGGTCCGGTAAAGTACAATCTTACCAACCAGTGTAGTGTTCACCCTGAACCACAGAATTCTACACTGTGATAACAGATTCTGTACCGTGGACAAACGTTCAATTAAACTACTGTTAGCCTTGTGTGCAATTTTGTCTGTGGGCAGTGGAGAGAGAGAGGAGTAGGCCAAGCGCGAGAACTTCCGGGAAAAACAAAATGGCGACCCACGTAGTTCGGCTCGATTCGAAAAGTTAAATAGCATATAGATCTAGCATCTTTGTAGATGACCAAATTAATTTACTTTTTTTGTGTTTTAACATAAATTTTTAACTTTGTTTTGGTCAATTTGATCGTCCACGCCGATAGACAGTATTCAGAAAGAGACAGAGAGAGAGAGAGAGGGGAGGAGTAGTTCTTACGAGAACTTTTGGGCAAAACATAATGGCGACCACACCGATAAACAGTATTCCAAAATGAGGAAAAACAGGTCTTGTTACACACTGGGTGAGAGTAGCCAACGCTGGCAAGTCTCACCCGGGGTGAGAGGTCGATCGTATTTTTATTCTCACCCTGAATGAGGATAGTCACTTCTTTCCTATCAAACTGGAAACGAAGTGTGTACAGACCCGGTAACGGGGAACAAAATCACGAAGAGTACAGACCCGGTAGGGGAACTCTTTTGTGATTTTGGAAAGTTTCAGTGCCCAGACCCGGTAGTGTGTGTGTGTGTGTGAGCGAGAGAGAGAGATAAGAGAGAGGGAGGAGAGAAGTGCTAGCAAAATGTATATGACATGCCCCAGTAGGCAGGAGGGAACGAGAGAAAGATAGAGTGGGAAATAGGTGGGGAGAAAGAAAGACAGAGACGAACAAAGAAAAAGAGAATGCGAGCGATACACAGAGACAGAGGAGAGAGAGAGAGAGAGAGAGGGTGACTGCTTGATTGAAATGATGTCATTGTTCTTTTTTCTTCAAATTGTGATTCCTCCAACTCCAAAAAGGATGAAAAACGATCGTTCATCGAAAAGACATCTGCAGTCTTCATTTAGATCTAGATCTAGGCTAGCCTCGAAACTAGATCAATGATTTATAAAAATGTCTTTCTGTCTAGATCTAGACCTAGGCCATAGATCTAGAAGAACCTAGGTCTACCCTGAGCCAAGAGGGCGCTGAAACTTTCCGAAATCACAAAAGAGTTCCCCTAAGGGTCTGTATAACTTTGTGACTTTGTTGCTGGTTACGGGGTCTGTATTCACTCCCAACTGAAAATGCTAAGAAATGTGTCCAGCAGTTTCACATATGACGTTATATGTTGCCAGCGCCGTAAAACCCCCCTCC